GAGAGAGGTAGGACAATAGAGTGCATGCTTAGGATGCATGCCTAGAATCCCATACACCCAGGCAGGTGCAGTCTTGTGTGCCCACCGCACGACTGAGGTGGCCTGGGGGTCCATTTCAAGTCCCAGAGCCTGAGCAGATCCTGGTCCTTGGGCCCTTGCAGCGAATCAGGACCACCGTGGCCAAGAAATCCCGAGTACTGCTTGGAAGGCCCCCACACAAAACAAAACAGATCCCAAGACTCAAATATAGATTGAAAAATAAAGGAAGTCCCAGCAAAGTCAGTCATGAACCAGATGAAATCAGCAGACATGGTAAGGAAAGCTTTTCAGAAGAATTGAGTCAAATCTCCTCACACACTTACAAAGCGTCAACAGGAAGAAACTTCCGGCAACATTCCCTTTGAAGCCAGCACCACTGGAATGAGAGCTGGACATGTTACTACAAGCAAAATAGCTACAGCATAACAAACTTTGATCACATTAACAAACTACAGAAATCTGCATTCAAAGTATATTTTTAAATTATACTTCAAGGGCAACTGGTAAATTATTCTTGGAATTCCAGGGTATTTTCTAAAATGAAAAGCAAAAAAATTTAAATCCTATATTGAGAGCATGAAGGTTAAAGACACAAAATATCAATCAATAAGTACTGAGACTCAAAATAAGGCCAGAGAGATAATATATACTGGGTTGGGCACTAGTTAGAAAGCACCCTAACTGGATTTGATTCCTGACACCACATATGGGTCCCCAAGCCCCACCAGGAGTGAACCCTGAGCACAGAGCCAGGAGTGACCACCAAGCACAGAGTTGAGTGATCCTTCAGCATTCAGCCCCAAGTGAGCCCTGGGAACCGGGCTAGGGGTGAGCCCTGAGCACAGAGCCAGGAGAGAGCACTGAGCATGGGGCAAGGAGTCAGCCCTAAGCACAGAGCCAGGACTGGTACTGAGCACAGCACTGAGCTGTGAGTCAGCTCTGAGAATGGGCCAGGAGTGAGCCCTGAGCGTGGGCCTGGTGAGAAGCCCAGAGGGGCACCAAGGACCAGGTTCCCGCCTGGCAGGGACAGGGCGGGATGGGGCGGAGGGGGGGGCAGTGCGCTGGGCCCTGAGGGCCTGGGAAGGACAGTCCGAGGGAGCAGATGCTGTGGTCGGTGTCCTCTGGCCTGGCCCTGCCATGCCCTGCACACGCCCTTCCAGGAAGGCTTCACTCCTGGTCAGGCCCCCTGTGCTCCTGGCCTGTGCATCCCAGGGTTGGGGTCGGAGTCAAGGGGCACAGCCCTTCCCCAAGCCGACCTCATGCTGTCTAGCTGGGGGCTCCCTTATGGACCGTCCTATACTTATTACCTCTGCGGATACTCTCCCTATCTGTTATTTTTATAATTTCCTCAGGTTTCCCTTGGTTTCATGATTTTGTCCAATTTCCTCAGGTTTCCTTTGGCATTTTGGTTTGGCCCGGCTGTGCCCAGGATCCCTCTGCATGAGGCTTGGCTACCACATGCAGTGCTGGGGATCACCCTACCTACTGTGCCACTGCTCCGGCCAGTTCCATGACTCTCAGCATCCCCCCCTCCACTGCCCCCCAGGGATTCTCGGGATACCAGGGCCTCTCCCAGTTGTGGGAGGCCAGGAGGCACGTGGACACCAAAATCCAATTCAGGACCCCAAACATTCCTCTTTCAAGAGCTGTTCAAGCTCTCCTTGCAAGATGAATGCAGCAGTCCTTCTCTCAGTGACCCTGGAGCGCCCCTGCAGCACACTCTGATGGCAGAGCAGAGTCTAGAGTCCACCTAAGGGAGAGCAAACAAAACTGCCTCATGTTCTTCGCTCAATTGTATCGGGCAGATAGACCGTGGTGGGGGCTGATAATGAGTTGTCCAGGAAATAATAAAACCCAAGAAATGATTACCTAGCCCTTAGGTAGTCCAAAGGCATGAAGAACACATCTCATTGGAGGTGGAAATCCTGAGTTCTTTGGGAATGGAGAGATCGAGGCACCACCCAGATCAAAATGAAACAATACCAAATGCAGGTGTGCATCTGTCCAACACCTTTCAACACCTCTCACTTTGGGCGTCCAGAGCATCACCTTCAGGGTCCTTCAGAAGTGAGACTTCTCAGAGTCCTATTCACTGTTCCTGCCTGGAGTACAACAAACAAGGACAGGGTCAGAGGCCACAGCAGATGAGACTCAGCAGGAAGCATGGGCTGAGCTCCCCAACAGCTCCCCAAGACCCCCACACTCCTTCCTAGGGCTCTCAAGGTCGCCAACCCTCAGCACTGACTTGCAGCTGGACCATAGCCTTCTCCTTTCTCACCTGTCAGGGGGGACACTGGGTCATGAGTGTAGACAGACTGGTCTGGATCCCAGGTAAGGTATGGAACTCCAACTGACCCAGGGAAGGATTAGGAGACGCAGGAGGGGTTGTCCCTGAGCTGAACCCACACCTTGTGAGGTCTGTGTCGGGAGAAAACTCCCCGTGACCTGTGTTGCCGGGATCGCTCCCTATCACCAGCTTATCCAGGAGCAAAGAAGTCTTTCATTTTCACAATCCTGAAGGTGTCATGGTGTTAGTGTGATGGGTCAGTGTGTGTGTTCAGCCAGTCTGGGGGCACACACGTGGATGGTGCTGCCCACTCACAGCAGATCAACCCCCTCCGTGGGGCCAAGGCCCCTTCTACTGGACCCAAACCTCAGCCCCCACCCAGCTGTTTCTACCTTGGTGCCTCTTCCTGCTGATCACGGCTCTGGCCAGCACTGCACCAGTGGCCAGGAGTCCAAGAAGAACAAGGCCAACAATGATTCCCATGGTGGGGAAAGTAAGCAGAAGAGGAGGCTCTGGGAAGGGAAGAAAGGAATCTGACGCCCAGGCCTTAGCCCACCCTCTGAAGTTCCTGATGGGGATTTCTAAGCCCACTGAGAAGAGTCTCTGTGCCCCATCTCCCAAGCACCTCCTCAGGGGGACAGGCTCCATGCCCGTCCCCCCCATGCCCCTTCTCAGGGTAACAGACTCCATGCCCATCCCCCCATGCTCATCCCCCCTCACCCCTTCCCAGGGTGTCAGACTCCATGCCCATCCCTCCTCACCTCATCTCAGGGCGACAGGCTCCATGCCCATCCCCCCTCACCCCTTCTCAGGGAGACAGATTCCGTGCCCGTCCCTCCTCACCCCATCTCAGGGTGACAGGCTCTGGCACCCTCTGGTGCTGCACATGGCACGTGTATCTCTGCTTTTCTCTCCATAAGGCACACCACAGCTGCCCACTTCTGGAAGGTTCCATCCCCAGAAGGCCTGGTCTCTACCAGTTCTATGTCCTGGATCAGGTCCTCCCCATCATGCTGCCAGTTCAGGGTGATCTCCTCAGGGTAGAAGCCCAGGGCCAGTACTTCAGGGTGGCCTCATGGTCAGAGAAGGAGCAGTGGGTTATACGTTGTTTGGGAGGCTCTGAGGGAGAAGAATGAGGAACACCCCCGTTTCCCCCTACATCACTGAAGCAGCATTCGTGTGACATCCTGAGAAGGGACAGGACAGTTGGTTGAGGGGGAGAACGCACCAAACTCAGACACCAGATGGCTGGGAAGTGGATGAAATCCTAGTCCTTGGAAAGTTCTAGAATGAGGCTTAGGTAGGAGGCTCCTGGTCTCTAAGGAGGCGGACACTGACTTGGTCCTCTCCTAGGTGAAGGGTGAAGGACAGAAAAGTCTAACTGAGGTTTCCCAAAATGTTCTTAGACAGTCACAGTCCCGAGGTCACTGTGGGTCTTCTGCACCATGGTCAGGGCACACCTGGAATATTTGCAGGTGACCAGGGTCCCTGTTTGTGGGGTCTCATTCCTTTTGCTCAGGTACTGGTGAAGCCACTCCCCGCATTCCACCTGCAGGCAGGTCCTGTATCTCTGCCTCACGGGACTCCTCCTTGTTTGCCTGGCGATCTGAGCCACGGTGTCCCTCGCGGTCCAGGAGCGCAGGTCCTCTCTCCTTCAGGGTCAGGTAGTCACTGCCATCATAGCCGTAGCTCCGGTACCCGCAAGAAGCGCCGGGCAGGGTCCACCTCACAGCCAAACACGCTCTGGAGGGTGTGAGACCCTGACTCGCCCCAGACCCGCCGGAAGCATAAACCGGGTCACAGTCCCGGGGGCTGCTCCCGTCCAGGGCGCCGAGGGCGCGTCCCACTTCCTCTGGACACTGGCACAGGTCACTCTGGGGCCCGCGCTCACCGGCCGCGCTCTGGTTGTAGTAACCCCGCAGGACGTCCACGCGCTCCGTGTAGATTGAGCGCTGCTCCTGGCGATTCCTGTCTGCGTCCCCCAGTTCCCGGGCTCCTCCCGCTGCGTCCACGGCGCCCGTGCTGTCCAGGCGCACGAACTCCTCGTCGTCCACGTCCACGTAGCCCGCGAGGAAGCACCGCGCCTGCCCCCCGCCTGGCAGGGACGCCTCGGTGTAGACGTAGCGCGGGGAGTGCACACCTGCGGGTGTGGACGCCTGAGCCCCGGCCCTGGGCAGGTGACCCGGAGGGCGGGCGAGGGTGGGCACTAAAGGACTTAGAGGGCGAGCGGGGTGGAGGCCGGGAGGGACCGAGACCACCAGGGCGCGTCTGGGCTGACGGCCTCCGAGACGCTCCTGCCGGGCCCCTCCCCTCCCTGCACTCACCAGCCCAGGCCTCGGCCAGGGACAGAGCCCCCCTCTCCTCTCCAGAGCAGCAGCCGCAAAAGCGCAAAAGCGACCAGAGTGTCCAGCCGCATCCCCAGGAGCGCCCCGAGTCGAACCAGGTGGGCAGAGACTTGTGCTGACGGAACGGCAGGTGATTGGCTGCCCTAGACACCCGACAGCCAATGAAACTGAGACCTGGGCCGCATCACCAGTACCCAGGCAGGAGGGCGAGGAGCAGGAAGCGAGTGGGCTATGCGCATTCCTGGAGGATTCGGTCAGGAGCATGATTAGTAGTTCCAGGAAATTATTTCTTCAAACTCTGTTTTTGACAGCTTTTAAAAATGAATTTGGTGCTCGCTTCGGCAGTACATGTACTAAGATTAGAATGATACAGAGAAGATTAGCATCCTGCGCAAGGATAACACGCAAATTCGTGAAGCGTTCCATATGTTTATAGAAAAAGGAAAACAAAGTAAAGGATGTTTGGAGGACTCGCTCGGGATGCAAGATGCGTGCTGAAAGTAGACCATAGACTGAACACGATGGCCACTCAATACCTCTATTGCAAACTACAAGACCCTGAAAGAAAGAGTGAGCAAAGGGGAATGCCCTGCCACAGAGGGAGTGGGGAATGGGGAGGAGTGTTACTAGGATCTTGGTGGTGGAGAATGGGCACTGGTGGAGGGATGGAGGGACTCCATCATTGTATAACTGAAGCCCAAGCATGAAAGTTTGTAAGTCTACAACTGTACCTCATGGTGTTTCACTAATAAAAAAGAATACATATGAAGCATTTTAAGTTTTCAGATTATCAATCGATTTCTTTGTAGTGTTGAACCAAAATTAAGAAGTGGATCTCTGATTTTTTTTTAATTTTATTGAACCACCGTGAGAAGGTTACAAGCTTTCATGTTTGAGTTACAATCACACAAGGATCAAACACCCATCCCTCCACCAGTGCACATTCCCCAAAACCAATCTCTCCGGTATACCCCCTTCCTCATCCTCCCCCTGCCTCCATGGCAGACAATACTCCCCATACTCTCTCTCTACTTTGGGGCATTATAGTTTGCAATACAGACACTGAGAGGTCATCATGTTTGGTCCATTATTTACATTTGGCACACATCTCCCATCCCGACTGATTCCTCCAGTGTCTCTCAGATTTTAAGATGTTCACAATAATGTGTTCTGCACATCTGACTCTCTAGAATTATTACAGAACTCATATGGAAAAGGAAACTGACCTCAAGAAATGAGAATGTTAGGGTCAAAATGAAATATCATGATTTTAATACCATCAATCATAATTTTTAAATAAACAATGTCTCCTTTTGTGGTGAGCTAGGTTATAGAATTTTAAGTTCCTTGAAGTATGCCATTCCAGTTTCCCTTTCTGTAAATACTGTAAGTGTTAAGAAATATGTGTGATGTAACTGTGGAATAAAATGGAAACTTATAGGACCAAGTGTGGACTGCTTCACAAATTTCCCTAGGAAGAGCTACTCTCCCCTGAAAAAAAGATCGGAATCTTCAATCCTCAAAGAAAATTTCAAGGGAAAGAAACTGAGAAAACAGGAAAATTCCCAATAAAATATGAGGGATTAAGCACACCTGTAAATAAATTCCATTCAAGATCCTTCCTAATGATGATGCGTGAATTGGTGATAATGTTAACGGACAGATTCTAACCTTATTGTAATCTGGACAGCCCCTGAACCAAAGTGAAGGAAATTCACACCAGAAACTCAATTGCTGTCAGCGGCCAATGCATGTGGGACTCAGCAGCAGCATGATATTGCTGAAAAGAAAAGAAAATCAGAATGTGAATTATTAATTATATACTGACAGTATAGCACTGTAGCACTGTCCTCCCATTGTTCATGGATTTGCTCCAGTAGGACCAGTAACATCTCCATTGTGAGATTTCTGTTACTGTGTTTGGCATATCATATACGTCACGGGTAGCTTGCCAGACTTTGCCATGCAGGCAAGATACTCTCGGTAGCTTGCTGGGCTCTCCGAGAGGGGCAGAGGAATCGAACCCGGCTCAGCCAGGCCGGCTGCGCGCAAGACAAACGCCCTACCGCTGTGCTATCGCTCCAGCCCACCAACAATACAGTAGTAGCAAATTAATAACTTATCATTACTAGAAAAATAGCAGTTTTCTGAAAATTGAATCATGTAAGCATCTGTGATCTTTCAATGTTTTTCAAGATGCAGTGACCCTGCTGGGTCCCAGCATATCTTGATGAATTGAAGGATCATCTCTCAGTTTAAGAGGGAAAAAACGCAGCCAGGATTTTGATAGGGATTATGCTGAGTCTCAGATGAGCTTGAGGGCAATTGTTATAATATTTAGTCTCCCTCTGTGTTATTCTAACTAAACAAAGCAAACCAAAATCCCCAACAGTGACTCAACTCTTAGCCAACAGCCACAGAATCTGAGTGCAGAGTTGTGTGCCTTGTGCAACGGCCCCTGGGCAGGGAGAGCTCTGCTGGGAGCAACCAAGACCCTTTGTGCAGAGCGTTGTGTACTTCAGCAATAGATCACAATGATTCTGCTTCAGTGGACATTGGGAAATACTCGCAGACTTCATGAAAAGTGGGAAAGAAAGACCCAGAAGAAGTTGGTTCAAACCCTCACCTGGTGCGGGTATGAACTACAGTGGAGGGCTTCACCTGAGTGAGGGTCCAAAGAACTTCCTTCTCACTCATGTGGGCTTCTCAGCTGCAGCCGCTGGGTGCAATTCAGACAAGGGGCTCTGTTCTGATCTTCCCAGTCGGGAACCACGTGACGTGGCATCACGGGGTGAGATGTTTCGGGAGACTGGGGGAGACTGCTTCCAGGGGTGATTCTCTTGGAAAGGTGCCACCCACTCTGCACAAGTCCCACCCTGGTCATAGCATCTAGGACACTGGACGTCACATCATAGGGACCTCACACAATAGGCCCTGTACCATATAACCACACTAGGTCCATGGTGAATTGCACCCACACGAGCCACTGTGGACCCAACGTGTCCTCACCGTGAACCTACGTGCCCACCACGTACCCACCACATGTCCACCACATACCTACCATGTGCCCACCATATATCCACCACATACCCACCACGTGCCCACCACATATCCACCACATGCCTACCATGTACCCACCACATGTCCACCATCTACCCACCAAATACCCACCACATGCCCATTACAAATCCACCATGTTCCCACCAAGGCCCACCACCTATCCACCACATACCCAGCACAAAACCATCACATACCTATTATGTGCCCACCATGCTCATCACAAACCCACCAAGTACCCACCATCTGCCTGCCAAATACCCACTACATGACCACCATGTGCCCACTACAAACGCACCACAAACCTACCACATCCTGCCACGTGCCCACCACATGCCCACTATGTGCCCACCATGTGCCCATCACAGGGCCTGTAGATGTTTTGCTTAGGGAGGTACAGCCTTGGGACACATTTGTCTGCATGTGACAGCGTTGTCCCTTGTGCTGGATTTTATCTCACACTGTCTTGTTGATTGTGGCCCTATGTCTCCAAAATCCACCCTGAGTGTTCATTGCCAGTCAGAGGCCATGTGTGAGATGAGAAGGTTGGGGTGGAGGGGCAAGTCAAGGTCACACTGCCCCTGCCTTCCCAGACCCCAGTTTTCTCTGCACCCCACAAACAATTATCCCAGCACGTACCCTATGGTTCTAGACTTGAATCTTCATTTTTGCTTTAATGTTTAAAGTCCTTACTAAGACCTGGAGCAGCCCCACCTGGGTAGATGTCACCAGTACCCTGTCCCCCAAACTAGGACAAGAAAGTTTCCAGTATTGTCCTACTCTCAGGCTCCGAACAGGACCCCCTTCCATAGGCTGGTCTTCATAAACCTGAACCCCTAATCACCCTCATGGTAGAGACGAAGTTTTATTGTGGGAGGGGATCCCACAGTCCCAACAGCCTTGGGACCCCACCTCCCCTTGTGAGTGGTCATAGAACCTCGATCTTCCCCTCCAACCTCCCCTCTTGAACAGTTGCCCTTGTATGACCTGGGAGGGACATGGCCATGTGGCTGCTCTGCCCAGGGGCTGCCAGATGGAAGCCGGGCACAGACCTGCAGTCCGGGGCTCCAAGAGAGCACGTGAGCAGTGCAGTGTGACCAACACCCCAAAGAACGTTGGGGAGCTGCTGGGGCCCCTTCCTGCACTCTCCTCCCCTCCAGCCTCTCCTGGCCCTTTCGCCAGGGCTCCCTGATAGCAGGTACTGAAGGCTTCAAGGACCTTGCTGCGGGGGCCAGACAGTGCAGAGGGGATCCAACAGGGTAGGGGGTTCCCAAAGGCAGAGCAGACACACGGCAGGAAGCTGGGGCAGGGGTGAGGAGTGTCCGGTGACTAAGAGACAGTTCCCTGGGGCCAGTCGGGAACCACGTCCATGAGCCCGGCGAGACAGCCTGGGTGCAGCTTGGGCACTCACAGCTGTCTGAGACCCAGCTGAGTCCTGCGAGCTGGAACTGGGTGCAGCGTGCTTCCTGGCGCTGAACTTTGCAAAAGGAGCACAAAGCCATGAAGAATCACTCAACAGTGCTCAGTTTGGCTTTTTAAGCAGATGAGCCTTTCATTACTGTTGCTAGCTTAAGTCATGCAAGGCAACTTCTGATTGATCTGGGGCTGGACTTTTATCTTTCTGAATTGAAAACATTTTTGGACCAGTAGAATTATGCAGGAAATGGCAGAGATGGAGATAAGAAAAAAATATTTCTTTTTCTTTTTTTTTAAAGTCCAGTTTTCAAAGGATTAATTTCTCTAAACTCTTACAATAATTTTGCTGTGGTTATTGAACTCTCAGTTGGCAATAAATAGCTTATGTCTGCTAATTAAAATTTTAAATCCTCCAGCTTCTCTGCACTGGTGTGCCTGCCTCCAGAATGAACGCTCTGGGTTGGAACGATAGCACAGGAGGGAGGGCGTTTGCCTTGCATGCGACCGACCCGGGTTCAATTCCCAGCATCCCATAGGGTCCCCTGAGCACCAGCAGGAGTAATTCCTGAGTGCAGAGCCAGGAGTAACCCCTGTGCATAGCCGGGTGTGACCCAAAAAGCAAAAAAAAAAAAAGAAAGAAAAAAACACTCTGCACCTACTCTGGATCACACAGCACAGCCCCAGGCCTCCGTCCCTCAAGCGTTCTGGCTGGGCAGCGGCAGGATGAAGTAGAATTGAGTCAAAATTGAAGTATGTGTTACTTACTGTCTAGAAGCCCCAAATACCCTCACCTCTCAAATGACTTGGGGGGCATTGCTGATTGATCCCCCAAATACTACCCTGCCTGGTGCCCACCCAAGGATCTTCAGTGTCAGAGAAGCTACAGAAAAGTGAGTCTCACCCTGGAAACTCATCCCTTAACTGTTGTTTCCAAGTGTGTGAGAGATGGTACTCTTTGA